CAACTAAAGATGAGATCAATACTTTGACTAACTTGATGTATAATGCCATTCTTAAGTCATGTGGTGTTCATGTACTGCATTTGGAACAAAATTATAAAATAGAAAATTATCAGGAGTACAACTATTTTTAAGTTATTTATTTTTTATACATATTAGACAAAAGACTCAGAGTGAGTACCTTGCTAGAGAGACCAGAGCTTCCACTATGCTAGAGATAGAAAGAAACTCTGATCTTTGAGTCTCTGCATTGTTAGTGATAGAAAACTCTGACCTCTGAGTTTTGCATTACTAGAGAGAGGCTCTGAGCCTTTGCATTCACAGAAAGATAGACTTTGATCTCTGAGTTTCTGCATTGCTAGAGAGAGAGAAAGAAAGACAGACTGATCTCTGAACCTCTGCATTGCTAGAGAGAGTGACTGATCTCTGAGTCTTTGCATTGCGGGAGAGAGAGAGGGAGATACTCTGACCTCTATGGTGAGATTGGAGAGAAGAAAAATAGTGGATGATAACTCAACAATTACCAGAATAAATATAATCTTGAAGAAGGCCAGAAAATACATTGGCTGAAATGTATTTAAAATGACAGAGGTGTATGTATTAGTTTGAATAATTCATTAAAACAAAAAATTGCAATCACTTTCCTTTATAAAATGTTCATTGCCACTAATTTTTAGCAATGAAATGTCCCTCCTTCTCAAAAGTAGCCTCAGTAGTGTTGAAGAAGGATACTTTTTTCTATGGAGTTAAGATATCAATCTTATATAGGGTAATTTTTACTTATTTTAAATTTATTTTATGGATATTTTACTGAAATAAGCTTAGCTTGTTAACAATCACCCCACACCAGATAACATACCTTTTTTTTTTTTTTTTTTTTTTTTTTTTTTTTTGAGGTACAAATCTGAAAATGCTTGGGAATATTAGGTGCCGTAAGCTTGGATATATGATTGGTGCAATGGATAATGGCTTGGAATTATTAATCACCAGTTGGGTTTGTTATATTTACTTACATATAAATACCCTTGAGAAAGGCAGGAATCCATCTCTTTTTCCCCTCCAGTTATGGGTTAATTAGTAAGACTTGTATCACTAAGCCATTATTATCTCGAAACATATTTCCTGGCTTTAAATAACCTGCAAAGGGTTGATAAGCTGTAAAAAAAACAAATCAACCCTCCAACTACTCCAAGTATCAAACTGATTTGAATCAATTGTCTTTCATTTTCATCATAAAGTTTTAATCCAGATTCTTGAATCGGTTTAAATAGTTGACAAGACCAGAAAGAAAATAATACTGGATAATGGTCAAGGATTACCAGATGTGATATATACCTAAAGAAGGCTGAAGAATTCATTGGCTGAAATGTATTAAAGATGACAAAGATGCTTCAGCTTAGAATACCAGACAACAAATAAGTTCATTGATTTCTAAGTGAATCTGGTTTGGAATAAACAAAGAACTATTTGTTTTTGATTTTGTTTCTTTTATGATTTTATATATCATGTGTGTTTGTGACCATATAGACTTCGTAATGTGAGTTCTTAAAATTCACTAATGCCTGTCGGCTGAAAAGAAACCAGTCATCTCTTTTTAATATGATAGAGAAAAATGTTTACATGCAAGCATAAAAAGAAAAAAAAGTTGAAAATAACACTATATCAAGTCAGAAAAACTGTTATTGATATGGGAATCTCTAACAGAAGATTTAGAATAACATTGCAAAGAATAAAAGTAACTTTGAAAGACAGAATCAGTGTTTGGTTAACAAGAACATAGTAAATAAGTAATGATCTTCAGCAGATACATTTTACATAGTTACTTTCATGACTTTTAATTACTTGTAAATCCCGTGATATTGTAAGTAGCATATATTAAATATTTCAAAACTTTAATTCGCTCTAATGAATTACATATACAATAAAAGAAAATACTGTGAATATATATATATATATATATATATATATATATATATATATATATATATATATATTTAATTTTAATTTATTCAAAAATTATAACATAAACATGTCATTTTGTTTCAACACTTCTGGTGTCTTCTCAAGTGATGCTGTTGAATGTAGAATAAAGAGTTTTTATTTATTTATCCTACAATCAACACAATCACTTGAAGACATTAGAAGTGTTAAAACAAAATGGCTATTTTTGTAATGATGTTTATGTTATAATTTTTGAATAAATAAAATTTGCTCTACTCTACTTGAGCACTCTTTTAAGAATAGTGTTTTTGGTTATTGGAATTTTATTCCATTTACACCAATCCTATACTTGGAGATATATATATATATATATATATATATATATATATATATATATATAAAATATACAGATGCCATAATTTCCATTGTATTTGTATTATCTGAAGAGATATATCCTGTATAATAATTTAAAAGTAAGAAATCTAATACTGATTGTTCTGCTAGAATAATATTAATTTTAGCAGTTTATCAAAACAGAATGTTTAACATCTTGCTTTTTATTATTAGGAGGCACGCTAGATTAATGGATTGCAGTTTGGATTGAAGAATCTGAGAGCAGAGTTCAAATTTCAGTTGAGTTCATTATGTTCACTTATGTGCTAATACCCTTGGGAAAGGTATGACTCTAATTCTCCCCCCACCAGCTATGGATAAATAGTAGGACAGACCCGGTTCTAAAACCTTGGGTGGCAACTGGCCTAGGTTGAAGGAAAACTTTGAATTCAAAACTATATGTAGCTCTGGCAAAGCACATTCTATGCAGCTAAGGAAAGGCTAGTTTGCATTAACTTGATGATCCTGGCTGAGGTTGATTCCTTTTTTAAAAAAAACATTTTATTAGATAAAACATTGTCAACCATTATTAATTTTCGACCAGTATTTATTTCCAGTTGCTTTTATATTACATGAGATGTATTAGTAGTAATATTATCAAGACTTTTATTATTAAATAAATGTTGTCAAGCAATATTCATTTTTTTTTTTTTTACTTATTTCTTTCACCTTAATTTGATTTACAGCTATTATTAGACAGCCAAGAAAACAACTAAAATTAAGATGAAAGAAATATTAGTAAAAATTTAATGATGATTGGCAATACTTCATCTAATAAAAAAAATATCAAGATAATGTTACTCACTGTCAGTCTGGGGAGATTATGCAGTTGTGTTTTGGATGATGTTTTAGGCACAGTGCCTAGACTGTTGCTTCCTGCTTCTTCAGTGCATAAGGCCTGGCTAGGTAGTTAGATATAGAGAACAGACTGTTACCCATGCAGTAGATCCCTACACTTCACATTCACTGAAAGAAGGCAATAGACATGCAGATATGCAGAGTTCCAGGATTGTTACAGGATGCTGTTGAATGCAGCCAAAAACTGCTTTAGTGACACCAAATTTTTCCTCTGGGTTGACTTCCAGTGCATCTCCTAATGTAGCGGAAGTTTTAAACCACTTTTTTCCTTCACTTAGACAAGCTACTTTCCTGGGTTTATGTGCCTTATTTGTCTGTTACATATAAATGTGCATACACATAAATACATGCATATTGACCCCTTGAAAGAAAAAAGAAAGAGAAAGAAAACTGACTACAACATCCTAGTTTGTAGTGGGAGGGTGGGGGTAAGTAAAAATAATGTCATTAACTTCTATCTGAATTTCTGGGATGAAAAGCTATCATTATTTATACTGTTTATATTCAGACTATTGTCCCCATCTTTGTTGTTTTAATTATAACATTTCGACATTTGTGCCCTCCAGTCTTCATCAGGTGTATATCAATCTGGAAAAACTTACAGGGAATTCTGAACTGAACTCTTTATTTAATTTACATGGGTAGATTGTTCTCATTCCACTGCCCATGTTTAGAGATACCTTGTTCTTATTTTTAGTACTGCTCACTTATTGCTTACCCTGATTCCACTGAGTCCAAGTACACAGGAATTGAACTTAAAATTACTATGTCACCAAATCCACAAACGAACCCTTTAATCCACTGAGACTTGATTCATTTCCAATCCACACTGTTTAATAATGGTTGTAGATTGATGGTCCGAGTAGTTATGATGAAAAAAATCAACTAAAACTATGATTAATGTGAAATTAATAGAAAGTCTATATTTTGCTTTCCAAACTCCAAGAATAATTTTCTGTAACCCATTTTTGATGAGTGTTTTTCTTACTGCAATTAGCAATTAAAAGTGGAATTTGGTGACATTACAAACATATTTTTGCTATTTTTTTACCTAAAATTTGTTTGAGAAAATTCAGCACTTGATCTGCACATACACATGAATATGTATATACATATTGACCTCTTGAAAGAAAAAAGAGAGAGAGAGAAAGAGAACTGTCTACAACATCCTAGTTTCTAGTGAGAGGGTGGGGGTATGTAAAAATAATGTCATTAATTTCTGTCTGAATTTTTGAAAAAACCTGCAAAAGTCAGGAATTTTTAGACATTAATGATACAATAGTCATTTATTATATGTATAGATAGAAAACATTTTTAAAGAAATGTATATTTTTTCTCTCCTAAGCATTTCACCCCAAGCAAGGCAGGAATGCCACTAGCATGCAAAGGGTTACAGAGAGTATAAAGAGGGGTGTTTGAGAAAAAGATATAGAGAAGGACAGGGATAAGGATCAAATCATCAGAATATGTCGATTGACATTACATTTGAATATTTGAAGATTATAGCTATCAGGGAAGCAAGTAGGGACATTTCATTGCTAAAAATTAATGGTGATGGACATTTTATAAAGGAAAGAGATTGCAATTTTTTTAATGAATTATTCAAACTAATATGTACACCTCTGTCATTTTAAATACATTTCAGCCAATGTATTTTCTGGCCTTCAAGATTATATTTATTCTGGTAATTGTTGAGTATCATCCACTATTTTTCTTCTCCCCAATCCCACCATATAGATCAGAGTCTCTCTCTCTCTCTCTCTCTCTAGCAATGCAGAGACTCATAGATCAGCCTCTAACTCTCTTTAGCAATGCAGAGACTCAGAGGTCAGCCTCTCTGTCTCTCTCTCTTTAGCAATGCAGAGACTCGGAGGTCAGCCTCTCTCTCTCTCTCTTTAGCAATGCAGAGACTCAGGTCAGCCTCTCTCCCTCTCTCTCTTTAGCAATGCAGAGACTCAGAGATCAGCCTCTAACTCTCTCTCTTTAGAAATGCAGAGACTCAGAGGTCAGCCTCTAACTCTCTCTCTTTAGCAATGCAGAGACTCAGAGGTCAGCCTCTCTCTCTCTCTTTAGCAATGCAGAGACTCAGAGATCAGCCTCTAAATCTCTTTAGCAATGCAGAGACTCAGAGGTCAGCCTCTCTCTCTCTCTAAATCTCTTCTCTCTCTTTAGCAATGCAGAGACTCAGAGGTGCAGCCTCTCTCTCTCTCTCTTTCTTTATGCAGAGACTCAGAGGTCAGCCTCTCTCTCTCTCTTTAGCAATGCAGAGACTCAGAAGTCAGCCTATCTCTCTCTCTCTCTCTCTCTCTCTTTTAGCAATGGAGAGACTCAGAGATCAGCCTCTCTCTCTCTCTTTAGCAATGCAGAGACTCAGAGACTCAGAATGATCAGCCCTCTCTCTCTCTCTTTAGCAATGCAGAGACTCAGAAGTCAGCCTCTCTCTCTCTCTCTCTTTAGCAATGCAGAGACTCAGAAGTCAGCCTCTCTCTCTCTCTCTCTTTAGCAATGCAGAGACTCAGAAGTCAGCCTCTCTCTCTCTCTTTAGCAATGCAGAGACTCAGAAGTCAGCCTCTCTCTCTCTCTCTTTAGCAATGCAGAGACTCAGAAGTCAGCCTCTCTCTCTAGCAATGCAGATGCTTAGGCAAAATTTCTCAACTTTCGTTTTTTGGTTTTCAAAACAAATTTCTTTTTTTTACTTCTCAACTATCACCCACAAAAGTAAAATGTCATCTTCCAAAAGACTTCTTCCTGCAGGTTGCACCAGAGCCCATTACATTAAACATAAATGTGGGTTCGCACATTAAAAAAGGCCATGTACCACATTGTGCCCCTTTGGAGAGGCAAGTAAATACCTACTACTTGTTCTTTAGAACCCAATTAAAATGGAAACCATATCTTCAAGTAGATCAGAAAATCACAGGAAATCTTCAATTCTCAGTGGATTTATTTCCACCTGTTAAGGTTTATCTGGTAGAATTAGCAGTCTTTTTTTCTGAAATGAAAAGTCAAAGGTTAAGTATTTAAAAATTGAGCAATTTAGAACTTCTCTCCATAACAACATAAATCAAGATTTATTCCAGGTATTAAATTACAACATTTCTTTCTTGACTTTCATTCTAATCTTACACTGTACTATTTTACCCTAAACATTATTATATTAAAAATTATTTCAGAAAACTTGAAATGACCCAGTTAACCATTTAAGCTCTCCATAAAAGATACACATATTTTTTAAATCATTTTACTACAAGCAAGGCAATAAAGCCATGAAAATGCAAGGGGTTACTGAGTGTGAGCGAATATGAGAAAAAAAAAGAAAACATTAAGAAGAGAGGTCAATAAAAGAAGAGGAATTAGGAAGAGAGAAAATAACGATTGACATTGATCTTCAAAAATTTAAATGCAAAATTAACTAGAAAGCAAGAACACAAGAATCCCACAAACGAGAAGTGCGAAAGAAGAAACTATTAGCATAGAACTTAGTTTCATTCAGCAATTTCATCTGTGAAATGATGAGACCTTGCTGCCAATCTGCACTTAAGTTCATAAAGTTTAGGTATCATCAGAACAGTTACCATGAAAATATTTATAGAAAAGGCACAGGGAAGCTATGTTACAGAAGTGAGATAGTGACTTAAGTTGAGATGCCATGTCAGGAGCAATAACATTGCAGATTCTTCTTTACATTTTATCAAGAATCTCTAAATACATAGCAGAAGCACTATACCAGATGTGGCAGCAATATTCAATGCATGGATGAATGGTAAATTTTTAAAGGTGTAAAATAGATTCTGGTGAGAAAAAACTGTCTAGCATGACAGTGAGCCATCTTTCCAAGTAGCAGGCCTAGAGATTGGTTCAATATAATCTTCCCACCTCATGTTAACCTGAGAAGAAACAATGTGTCACTCTTCTGGAGGTGACCGTCAGTCATGCTGATAGAAGGCAAAAAAAAGGTTCTATCAGATATATTTACTAATACCATAACCAGTGTAAAAATCAAACTTTTTAAATTTTGTTATTGAATTATCATTAGCAAAATTTAAATTTTCTTGTCCTAGAAAATCTTTCTTAGGTTTTGAGTGCCTTTTTTTAACTTTATATACAAAAGAATAAACATTTTCTGCATTCTAATATTTTTATACATCTTCTGCATTCTAATATTTTTTTATACATCTTCTGCATTCTAATATTTTTTTTATACATCTTCTGCATTCTAATATTTTTTTTATACATCTTCTGCATTCTAATATTTTTTTTTATACATCTTCTGCATTCTAATATTTTTTTATACATCTGCATTCTAATATTTTTTTTATACATCTTCTGCATTCTAATATTTTTTTATACATCTTCTGCATTCTAATATTTTTTTATACATCTTCTGCGTTCTAATATTTTTTTATACATCTGCGTTCTAATATTTTTATACATATTCTGCATTCTAATATTTTCTCTTATAAAAATAATCAATTAAACAGAGCTGTTATTAAAAAAACCGCATACCTTTTGCAGAACATTGTTTGTGTAAAAGGGTACCAGTATAATGATGGTTAACAAGCTAATTTCACATTAAGATAGTAAGTTCAATCCTTACTGTGTACCTATTATAGTTCCACCACTATTATATATCCCTAATAAAGTTAATCTTTATATATTAGTGTGCAGCAGAAATACCTTCCATATAATAGTATGACATTAGCTAGATGAAAACACCATTGCCCCTAATGTTTTATCATTATGTGTATGTGCGAGGTATTTTTGTTGCACTCTGTATTAATAGGAGTAGATAGGTTCGCCTGTTGCCCGGTTCACACACCTTTCCCATCTTTTGAACAGAAGTAAAGGTTTATCCCTTATTTCCTGTTTACGATTGGGTTTCCGATTTCTTCTAAATTCTTCCCATTCTCTTTCACTCTTTTGCGTCCTAGTGGCATCATCTCCTTACTTGGAGTGAATTGATTAAAAAATACATAATATATATATTTTTTAAGCTTTTCACCCGAAGCAAGGCGGGAGTGCCACTAGCACGCAAGGGTTTACAGAGAGTGGGAGCAAGAGTAAAGACGCATGGAAGAGGAAAGGATGAAGAGAAGGACGGGAATAGATCAAGGCATCTGGAAATGTCGATTGACATTGCGTTTGAATAGTTGGAAATTTTAGCTATTAGGGAAGCAAGTAAGAGGAAGGGAGTTCCATAGACGGGAAGTGCGAGACATAAAGCTATTGGAGTAGAAGAGATGGCTACATTTAACCGTTTCGACAGTTAAAGGGTGGGATTGAGATGCCAACCTAGTAGCACGTTTAAATTCATACAGTTTGGGAACTAGCGAAAGTAGTTCGTTGGAGCAGATACCGTGAAAGTATTTGTAGAAAAGACAGAGAGAAGCGACGGTACGTCTGCGAGGGAGCGATTGTAAATGAGATATACCAACCCTGCATAGTGACTGTCGCATAGTGAACTGTTGATATCTATTTGTATATTGTTTATATCTATAAACACTCTATTCTCAATAGCGAACACTCTTCCGCCATAAATAAAGCAAATTTTAATACATAAATATAATATATAATTTATAACCCAAATCTGGTCAAGGTCACGATACTAAGAATCAAATCCACTAGCAATGATTCATTAGATTGCCTTTCTAAACATGCATTCACTAAACTTCACTTAGTTTATCAGGGATTCAGTATCGTGAGACATTCTAGTAAGTATTAACATCACTATTAACAGCTTGCAACATTAACGTGTTATTAATCATGAATATTGTATCAGTTGTTCAAAAAGTTATGTAGATTTGCAATAAGAGTAAGTGGATATATCAAAAACGTTTTATTTCATTTACTTCTACAATATAAATTTATAGTAAAATTTAAGTAATTTATTTTGATGTTTAATGTGAAATTCGTAAACTTGATAAAAAAAAATATTAGTTTTGCATCTTCGTTGCAGGAATGGAAATTATTCATTTTGCCTACTGGTAAATTTTTCCCGTAAACAATTTTGGCGGACTCGTGTGAGTCCGAATAAAAATAATCACAAAATATGAAATTCAAACAACGGTTAATAAATGTATTGAAAGAAAAATGTTACAGAAAGGTAATATAAGAAATGAAGTTGAAATAATGAAGAGTTCAAGTTTCATAAAAGGAAAATAAGTAAAGTCGCATTTTGTAGATAGTTAAAAAAAAAATGCATTCAAATATAGAAAAACTTATCTAGTTTCTTAATTATTATTAGCAATGACGAATTTCTACAGTGAAACTAATTCTTTTATTCCTTCTAGAACGAATTTGAGACTTTAAATGGGTGGGGGTTGCTAAATAACCTATTTCAGTATGTCTTACTAAACCAAGACTCTATCCCCATCTTGTTATCATTTCATCCCATGCAAGGCAGTAATGTCATTAGTCCGTAGGGGGTTATAAGGAGTGAAAGTGAGAAAAAAGACTGAGACTAAGGATGATTGAAGAAAGGACAAAAAGATTAACAGGATTCAGAAAGACAGAAGATGGCGATTGATATTGCATTTAAACTTTTAAAGATTGTAGTTAACAATATATTACGAGCTTTTAGAATAAGGTAAAACAACTACAGATCTCTTTTATCATCAAGAGCAAGTGAAAATTTACGCAAAACCTCAGAATCATAATGCAAAACAAAACTCACATTCAGTAAAATAAATTCAAAAAGAAGAGATTTGGTTATTTTACATGGCTTTCCGAATTCAACCAATTGAGAATCTTCCGATTTCGCTTTTTATCAGTAAGTGATGAAAACATTTTCTTTATAGTAAACGGTATTGCTGTTTACCGAAATTCCCTATTCTTCATCCTGTATAAATATATAAATATGTGTAGATTAGGTGAGGAAGAGGGACACAGGGGTCTTGACGCTACCCCATCGAGCAAAGCACGGTTAAAACATTTTCTTTAAATATCTATAAGGAATTTTATGAATAAAACGACCCAAGTAATATCAAGTAATCTTAAACTAACTAAAAATAAAACAGTTTTTCTCGTCTTGCGCCTTTATTTATTTATTTTTTATTTATTTTTTTGTTGTTGCAAGAAACGATTATTTAGTGATTCTTTGGTTAATTTAATAAAATAAAATATCAACATTTATAAAAAAAAGAAAAAAAAAGCCCTCTTCTTTCCCTGTCAAGACATTGATCACCGTCAACAGAACTATGCCCGGATGTGGTCGTAGGGTCGCTGCGTAGCTGAGTACCTGACTAGTTACCACAAAATATCTAAGTTGAAAGCCGGAGAGATATTCATTTTTACTTAGCGTATCTAAGCCAAGGAGACTCAACTGTACCCATCCCTCTCCAGATCAGACCATAGGTCTTCGTTACGGACACATTGTCTTTGATTCTATCGGGGTTTCCCTCCACTTTGATTGCAGTCTTAAAAGCACACCATCAACGATGACGTGTCATCACCGCACTTGATATAGTGCCAGTAGTTTAAGCCCATGTGCAGATTTAGCCAGCA